TCTCGCGCCGGTGCGCACCCGGAAGGGTCGCGGAGGGGCGCGAGGCTTGCGGGCGCTGTAGGGATGCCGGGGCCCGCGCTTCTAAAGCGGGGTGCGTAAGATCCTCGGAGACAGGGAACCCCCGCCCCGCTGTCTGGAGGAGAAAAAGAAGGCGGCTATCCCCTTTGGCCTTCAGACCTCCCTCTTTTTCCTGGGAGAACGGGTGAAGGAAGTAGAAGGGCGGTAGAGACCGGCACTGGCGCCAGCTTCTTTGTCTGCGCCGGCTGCGCCCCACGCCCCTCGGGGCTCACTTGTTTTGTGGCTCTTCCCGCGGCCCCGAACCGCTAGGGGCCCCTGCGCTCCCTTCTCAGCCAGGCCGCACGGCCCTCCAGCTACCCCCTCCCGACTCTTCGCCGCAACGACAGAGCCTCATCTATAGCCGGATTTAAAATGAGATTAAGCGAAAGTGGAATTGGCAGCCTCCATTGGTGTCTGGAAATGTGATTTGTGATGCTCGGGTGTGGGGAATTGCATGGCAGCAAGAGCTGGTGGAGCGGAGACCCGACAGGAGCGCTTCGCTGACTATTCTGTTACTCATTGCTGCTGGGTACTTCAGGACGAGATGGTTGTAGTTTGTTTTTTTTTGGTGGTGTTGTTTTCTTAATCAGTGTTTATTTCCTTTAAAAGTCAGTTACGACCGGTGTCCCTGAAAGGGGGAGGGGAAACGTTCAGGGTGAGAAGCTGGCAGCGGTGATTGAAGCGGGAGGTACTAAGCTGCTGCCCACGAGACTGCGTGCGGGAAGTGAAATAATCTGTAAGCACGTTTTTAACCGAGGACCGCTGGCAGGAGCCCTGCGGCATCCGGAGATGGGGGAGCTGGGTTGCCACGTTTTGATGCTTCTCCCCCTCACACACACCGCCCCCCCCCCCGGCTTGCCACCAAGCCCAGATAAACGCGTACGTACAGAAAAGAGTAGATTATGAAATTGGTAGGTATGGTGTCCTTGCCTGCATTTTTGGAGAGAGTGAAAAACAGGGTCCAAGGGGAAACCTCTGTAGTCACTTCGTTGCCAGTAGAAGAGATTGTTTTTGCTTTCTCTTACCCACGCCGGGTTTAGACAGGTAGAAAGGGCCCACTTCTAGCTGCCTCTGGTTGCCCTTCCTTCAAGATCCCCGAGGGCCTTGCTCAACTGCTGTATTTGTTGAATGTAATAACAATCATCACCACTGTAACTCTGTGCTGGGTGTAGGCTGTGCTCTATAGGCACATTATCTCATTTAATCCTCACACCATCCGGAGAGACAAGAATTATCTCCATTTCACGAGGGAGGGTACAGTCAGAAATGTTAACAACTTGCCCAAAGTCAGTGACAAAGGCTGGACCCAAGGCAGCCTGGCAGGCTCCAAAGGCTCTGCCCCTGCTCTGCACTGAAACTCGCTACATTCCCGGCTGGAGGAGACGTTCCACCACCACGTGTTCCCGGCAGGCATTGTTGCCCTAATGAAATTACCAAGAGACTCCTCTGCAGCTGGCGAGATTGTTACCAGGTCTTTCTGTCCAGTTGTGTGAATATAATTAAGATAAAATAAATCACTTGTAAAAGAATCTGAAACTATTGCATGTTTTCAGCTAACACTTTAAAAATGCTTATATGTGCCAAGCACTGACCTAAGTATTTTACATATATGTACTCCTTTAATTCTCATAATAACCATATGGGGAAAGTAGTATTAGTATCTTAATTTTGCATCTGATAAAACTGAGGCACAGAGAGATTAAGTAACTTGTCCGAGGTCACACAGCTGATAAATGGGAGAGCTGGCAATTAATCCCAGGAAGTCTGATTCCAAGGAGCCCTGGTGGTACAATGGTTAAGCGCTCAGTTGCTAACCAAAAGGCTGGTGGTTCTTACACACCCAGCAGCTCTGCCAGAAGAAAGACCTGGGGCTCTGCTTCTGTAAAGATTACAGCCAAGAAAACCCTATGGGGCAGTTCTGCTTTGTCACATAGAGTTGATACGAGTTGGAACTGATTCTACAGCACCCGACAACAGCAGTCTGATTCCAGAGTCACAGCACTTAAGCCACTACAAACCACCTCTCAAGAATGAATATTAATATTGTTAGAGGGATGGGAAGAAAACTATTCTTTCCCCGGTCT